GGGGGGGGGGGGGCAAAATGGGCGGGGGGGGGGCAGAAAATAATTGGGGGGGGGCATTTGCCCCCCATCGCGCCGCCACTGGATTTTGCTTGTTTGCAATGCAAATATCATCTAACATGGCGAAAATCTCTTTGTCCTTTGAATCCCATGGGATTGGTTGCACAGCAACAATGTGACAGACGTAACACGTGACAGACGTTACAGCAAACATTTGCAATTTTTAAGGCCACATTTAAAATATTTCAGGATCTAGTTATGAATTTATGTTTACATTTATATAAAAAAAAGAATATATGTGTGAAGAACTAAATTTGTGTAATCATTTTAACAAAAAGGAAACTTTAAACTTTTTTTGTGACAGACGTTACAGAAAATTATACTCCTGTTTCTTTAAGAATAAATATGAGACTTGGTGTTTTTAAAAGTTTTGAAAGTCATTTTTCAACCAACATGCACAATCATGTTTGCTGATATAAAAGCACTTTTTACAGGCATATAGTTGAAACAATGAAAAATGTTTGAGAATGGCATGAATAGTGCTGTGCGCCGGAGTTGCCGGAGTTCTGCCGGAGCTCCGGCGGTTTTTCCGACGCCGGAGCCGGAGCAGAATTTTGTATGCCGGAGCCGGAGTTACGTTTTCCCAGCTCCGGCAAAATGACAAGAAAACAACATGAAATGAGACAAATGTCAAACGATTGTTAGTTACTGCAAACTGCCAATTGCTGTTAATGAATTCATCATAGACTCAAACTGGCACAGCCCACAGGAACAGCGTCGAAAAGCTGTAATACGATCGCAACTTACAAACGTCATGCTTTCATGAAGCTATCTGACTTAGCGCTACATAGTCTGTGTATTCATGCCTTGTAGATAACGAAAAAGTACAAAACAAATAAATATCAACCTTTTGAAAATGACAGAGTATTTTGTTTGCGTGCGAACAATTGCGCTGTGGAGTCTGAGAGTGTTAGCGTCATGCCTCGCGTCATGCCTCGTGTCAAAGATTTTTCGAGGCTGGTTCCCATATAGATATTTTCTGCGTGGTTAAGTGTTTTCACTGTTTTGTTTCCTGAGTTATGTTAACTGATAATTAGGATGCGCGAAAAGGGTTATTCGTAATAATATTAATAAATGTTCTCTGATCGTAAAACATTTATTTAATATTTTATGATGTGGCCGGAGCCGGAGCCGGAGCTCAGAGCTGTAATTCGGCCGGAGCCGGAGATGAAAAACCGGAGTTTGCACAGCACTAGGCATGAACCATAATTTGCTGTTCTGGTGCCAGGTAAATGGTTGCACTTTCAATGCAACGTCATTTTGTGTAAATATAGTGCCCCTGCATACATTTTTTTGCAAAATTTGTGTAAAAATTGCAAATGAATTTTTTATCATATGTTTATATATAATGGCTTGGAATCCCCCCCATGCACCCTGTTAACCCTTTAAGTGGCAACGCGCCCAGATGCGCCCTACTTTATTATTTTCCTCTGTCTAAGCCAGACGATTTTACCGGTCAAGGGGAGAGTGCTGCCACTCAATGGGTTAATTAAGCTTAGTGTATTTTCATCTATAGGCACCATTTTACCACATTTTATTTGAAGTAATTCTGGTTCTTCTGGTTTTCCGTCTCTTTCGAGCCAAGCAGTACAAACTGAGGGAAAGTGAAATACAGTTGACTGAAAAGGTATGTTGCATCGTCATTGTATTTAGTGCATGTAGATGAGGGATTGTCTTCGTGTATAGTTCATAATGTTTGCTTAGTTTTAATTTAAAACACTGTTTCAATAATTACGTCACAAATATCTCCTTGACTCAGGAGCCTCTTTCTCACGATTTGTTAGCCAGTCATTTTGATCATCAAAAATCAAGTTATCATCAGATTCAGTTATATCATCCAAAGCCTTGCACAACATCTGAATTCATCACACTACAAAATACTCCTGAGTCGAGCTGCATTGCCCGGATAGGAGACTTCAATCTTCCAGCAATTGATTGGTCTCTTGATCAACCGACTCCCGCAATTTGAATTAACGAATCGAGGGCATCTCGAAGAATCATTCTGCGACTTAGACACTTAGTTGTGATAATTTCTTTCAACAATTCATTAAAGGTCCAACTCACACAGGAGGGTTAACACTTGATTCGCTGCTATGTAATTGCCTCGAGATTATCAAAAAAACATTTCAACATTCTCGCCTGCATAATTAAATTTTCCAACGGATCATCATATTGAATTTCAAACTCAAGAGACGATTATGCTTAGCGGCCACGCTGGGATGAAACATTAAATTCTTGTTCTTCCATTTGTTATGCAGATTGAATCATTGTGAGGGAATTTCTATAATAACAATTTCCTGGTAACAACAGGAGAATCGCCTAAAATAACTTTACCGTATTCATACAAATCACATATTAAAATACACTGATTAGCGTTCGCAACGGACTCAATTACTCAAACTTGCCTTTCTAGTCACGCTTTTTTCACGTATGATGAATATACGAGTTGAATATTTAATTCATAACACCCATCGTACTTTTCGCGCTTGGTTTTCACCTTCTAGCTTTGTCGGTGGACAACCTTAAATTAGCTGTATAATTATATAGATTGGATCAATTTGTTAAATAACTCATTTTATATAATTGTTGACAATAGGAAGAAGAAGAATTGATAAAAGATTGGAAACCTGAACCACTTGTTCCACCGAATGCCAACCATCCTTCTTACGTTATTAATCCAAATATTATCAAAGGGTGAGCAAAATCATTCTAAATTATATCAATGAGGACATGATACACCTAAGATCATGCATGGTATTAATTAATGTTATCATTTTATTTCAGAAAACCAGGTCATCAAATTATTGTCAATGGCAAATCTTGCTTAAATTTAGCAACTTTCAACTTTCTTGGTTTTGTTGGCGATAAAGATATTGAGGTGTGAAACGGTTTAGAGATGCAATTTGTATAAAGGAACTTATAAAATAGTTTATATAATTGTCTCAGTTCACATGCATATAACAGCACCTGAAATAATAATTTAGGTTCTTGGTTTTCTGTTAAAGTTCCTACTAGTAGGTAAGGTTCCTTGTTTTCGTTTGAGTGATTGTCAATTTGTCAATTTGGTTTTCGAAAATTTCATTCTACAGCTGCACTACTTGACTATGCTAATAACTATTTAAATTTAGTTTGGTTATATATATTTTTAATTTGGTATAATTGTTTAATTTTTAGTAGATGTCTCATCAAATTCTGTTGAGAAAAGTATGAGCTCTAATATGGGATAAAAGATCACGCTCTATCATTTCTCAAATCGTATCACTCAAATGTTCTTGTAGTCAAAAATGCCAAATAAAAGAATCTATTACATCAGAGAAATTGATTAAATGTGGCGTATCACAAGGTTTTACTTTAGGACCACTATTCTTTCTCTTATATATTAACGATTTGTCCGGCCCAATGTCTATATAAAACAAATCCTATTGTTTGCTGACGACACAAATCTGTTGGTTCTGAAGACTCTATATAACTCATCTTAAGCTGCAGTAAATTGATACAGGTAATGCTAGCCCGCGTGCAGGCCCAAGGGAAGAATAGTGGGCCTGCAAGCAAGACCCGGTATTTTGTAAAACGCCCCTTTTCATAACACGCCCCATTCGCGCGTCAATTGTCAAAAAAGAACCAATGACAGCATCCAAATATTAACAAACAAACTCGCATTAAAATGTTGCGGGGTTTTCTCTGCTTATTCAGAACATAAACAATGTGTAAATGGCTGCGTTTTAACTCCAAAAAAGCAAGCAACGCAGTCAGTAATTGCCAAATTTACAAGTGCTCATTTTCAACTAAAATCGGAACAGGCAAATTAGGACGAATTTCAACAGAAAACCAATACAGATATATAATACACTCAGAGTAACATCACAAGCATCATATTCACCTGAGTACACAACACCAACACGGAAAAAAAAAGAAAACCAATCTCAAACTTCAAATCGTGAGGGAAGTCGTACGACCACATTAGCATTTATAATGTGTGCTTCGCTGTCGCCATTGTTATAAATAAATTGTGTCACTTATCAGATCGTGTGTGCAATTCTTGTTGGCGGCGGAAAGTACGAAATTTATTCATTTGAGTCAACATCAACCAAAAGATAATTTTGTTGAGGAACATATAACGTATCAAGTCTGTTTGAAATTAATGAAACTCAAGTAAAGGTTACTATAGTTTACCCCAGTCGTATCAAATGTTGCTATTCCAACACTTCACGACAAACAATCCCCATTGGCATAACGGCAAAAACATCTCTTCCTTCAAGTAAACAATAAACAGTCTGTTCTTGTTCCATTTATAATCGAAAAAGTGATCAATTTTCGAATTTTAAGCTTATCGAGAGCCTTTGTGATGAATCACTGATCTAATTATAGAATCCAACAGCAAACAGCCAATCAGAATGCCGCGTTCGTGGGCGAACCTTGGGCCTGCACGCGGGCTAAGGTAATGCTTATTATGCTTACTGAAACCCAAAGTTTTCTCTGCAGGAGGCAAGTATAAAGACGCTGCGGAAATATGGAGTGGGCTCATGCGGGCCTAGAGGATTTTATGGAACAATAGGTGAGTTGCATATAAAGTTATAAACTATAGAAACCATACACGGATTATGGAACTTCATATCTCAGGTGTTGGCAATCTTGTACCGGTTGTACGAAGACCGAACAACGCTATCCAACGTATAGTGATTTTTGTCGAGCTTTCGTAAAACTGTCCGTTGATTGCATAGTATACCACTTATATAGATTAAACTTTAGTGTATTTATAAATCAAAGTTTCTTTTTATTAATTGCGTGGTTCGTATCCGTAGTTCTATACTTTCAAGCATTTTTACAGCAGTTAAAAAATCACTATCGGGCCTTTGTACAACCTGTCCCTGATCACTTAGCTATCGGGATGCCCGTTTGAGAAACGTTATGTACTGTAAGCACGCATATGTGATATGTATGCACACAATGTAAGCACCCATATGGAAGCATATAATTGTATGCATGCACTCAACGTGAAATATGAAATCGGTAGTAATATAGGTGGTATCCGGCCTTTGCATAGATGATTTATAGAGACGATGTGCGGTGATTCGACACAACAAGTCCCATTCCTATAACTGCTCAGGGCTGCATGCAATACGTTTTTTTATTTTCTCAGATGTTCATCTTGAATTCGAGAAGAAAGTGGCAGAATTTATGAACACTGAGGATGCCATCATGTATGCATATGGCTTCTCAACCATCGCAAGTGCAATACCAGCTTACTCGAAAAGAGGGGATGTTATTTTCTGGTGAGTAGAACATATAAAATATGGAAAACATGAACATAATAAAAAATCCCTTCACTGTGACATTGCATGGTCAGATTTTCTTGGAACCACCCCTGCACACGATCATATGTACTGTATTACAGTAGATTCCAATGGCAATGAGGTTCAAAGGAAATCAAGTCTGCGTTCATCAACTACTGCAAACTGACGTTAGTTCTGCGATATAGAATGATCTGTTGTGAGACAACCTGTCTATATGCAGTATAGACCAGTTTAACTATGGACACATTTGTTCACGCGAAGCGAAACAAAAAAATGCAGTACTGTATAGTAATTGGTTAGCAATAAAATTGTTATTATGAAAGGTTGAATAAATCACTATCCATCGGATAGTAATTATCGAGCCCAGCATTGTTGTTGTCTCTCATCCGATCATTCTTCATGTCTTGACTCATTTTACCAATGAAAATACAATTCATTAACAAAATATATACATATTTTTCGCCACGATCTAGTGATGACGGTGTATGTTTTGCGATCCAGAAAGGCGTGACAGCATCACGTAGTAAGGTGTATTGGTTTAAACATAACGATATGGATGATTTAGAACGTTGCTTGAAAGAGCAAGAACAGAAGGATATGAAGGTGAATATTTATCATTTATAGACCTGGAGCGAGGGGGATTCGGAGAAATATTACCCGAAGTGATGATATTTCCCGAGGGGCTTTGCTCCGAGAGAAATATCATCACTGAGGGTAATATTTCCCCGAATCCCCCGAGCGGAGGGTCTATAAATGATATATTATACCGAAAATTAAAAGCCTCCAAATTGAGAATTAAAAATTTGACACATACCGTCGTGAATACGATGTTTTATTTTCGGATTAACGCAAGTATCGTCGCTTTTCTTTCGAATCGCATATCGTTTGGAATATTAATGACAACATTTTTCAAAATTTGCTTCAAAATTTTGAAAAAGCCCCAGGTTTTACGTTTAAAATTTGATTATTCATCACTCATCAATACTATTTCAGTATATTTTGTCGACCATGTTGTTGTCATGCGTGTTGTCTCGCGTGGTCTACGCGAATAATGTTCCACCCCAATGTTCCCCGGGGAACATGGGGTGGAACATTGTCAAAAGGAACGCAGGCTCGCTGATTGATGACGTAAGGCGTGATATCGCGATTAATTTCATGCTCACGTGGCACAAACTAAGCTTCCTGATTGGACAATTTGAATTTGAGGTATAATATGAATATTTGTAGGAAAACTAAACTCGCATAATTCCTGAACAAAACACAAAGGAAATTATATCGCTGTCTTGATACTATGGTAATAAACTACCAGAAAAAATACAAGTAAAACTTCGACGTCCTGGGCGAAGGCCCTTCTTTGGGGCGTTATATAGTAACCTACAGTACTAACCTCCCAACTTAGTAACAAAGTAAAACATCTATACTCACCACCATTCTAATTCCAAATGTTGTTTTATATTTTAACAGAATGCGAAGAAAGCCAGCGTAACAAGAAGATTTTTAGTCGCAGAAGGATTGTACGCAAATTATGGAGATCTTGCTCCATTACCAAAACTGGTATGACATTCTGATTGTCTGACAATGATATTCGAAACAGCTTGACCTACTGTGTGTTGTGTAGTGTGTACCATTGCCCATATCTATATTAAACAGAACAAATAGCTATACTCTTGGGTCTATCACACATAACATAGGTCAAGCTGATGTTTGTGATGTTATTCTGAGTGTATATCCACACCGGGCGAGCTTGAGAAATATGCCTGACGACGGTGGGAATCGAACCTACGACCTTTGGAATACTAGCCCAATGCTCTGCCAACTGAGCTACGCGATCAGGACGGTTCGAGTAAGTGATATTTCGGAACAGAATCTAGTTCTTTCGATACCAATGTAATCTAGTAATATGATTTTTTCTGTGCTGGTGTTGATGTTTGTGATGTTACTCTGAGTGTATATCCACACCGGGCGAGCTTGAAAAATATGCCCGGCCGCGGTGGGAATCGAACCTACGATCTTTGGAATACTAGCCCAAGCTGTCGATTGCTTTTCGAATATATCATTGTCATATAGTGTGTACCGTATTAACCACATTAAACAGAACAAGTAGTTAAATTGAGTCTCTTTTCAAGTTAAATTTCCATTGCCGATGATGATAATTTCTTTCTTATTTCTAGATTGAACTCAAGTACAAATATAAAGTTCGTATTTTACTGGATGAAAGTCAGTCATTTGGTGTTCTAGGAGCAACAGGACGTGGTCTTACTGAACACTTTGATGTTGATGTAAGAAACATTTAGTCCTGACATTGCATGATTTTGTGTAGGCTTCCTTCCTAAAACTGTTGTTGGAAAACTCTTCTACCGGTACGAGAATGCTTTACAACTTCATTCGTATAATGGCACGATCCACATTACACTGAGAGTGTAATTCCGCATCAAGAAAGGCTCTATTTTTGCAACAGCGTCTCTAAAACGGGAGAGGGGGTCGTAGATGCTCATGTAGGCCCATTTTACATTCGAAACACGTGCCTGTAGAGGTACCCGAGTAGTATACATTCACATGTAGTACTGTGTTTGTGCTGTTTTAAAATAACTTAAAGTGCCTATGACACGTAATTTCACCCCAAAGGTTTATGGTTGCATTGTAAAGATCACTTAAAATGACTTAATAATTTCTTTTATAGAATTTTAGTAACTTGCTCCCTTTGCAAGATATTCAACTTTGTTTCATATGCAAATATCACCGGTGTGACATCACATTGCATAATGACATTTTGAAAACGCAATAACCTTGAAAAAATATTTTTACAAACAAATACAGAGGGTTAATTACCAGTTATGAAATTAATACATATACAAGGGCAATTTTTAAGTTTTTTAGATAGGTATTCGTCAAGAAAACTATACTTTTCTGAAAACTCATTATGTGATGTGACGTCACACCGGTGATATTTGCATATGAAACAAAGTTGAATATCTTGAAAAGGGAGCAAGTTACTGTACTAAAATTCTATAAAAGAAATTATTAAGTCATTTTAAGTGATCTTCAATTACAATGCAATCATAAATATTTGGGGTGAAATTTCGTGTCATAGGCACTTTAATTTAATTGAAATTTAATTCTAACACTATGGGGAACTGGTGATAATTTTGTCACAATCCACGCTAGATATATGTATAGGCAACCCTGCCTGCCCACCGTGTAACGATCGCTATGTAATCACCTATACAATTGTCCGATAATCATATAGTTGCATTTTTCCAAAAGAATGAACGATTTTTCTAAATGAAATTGTAAGAGATTGCACGCGGCAGTTTACTGCAATTACTGTAATTTTGTTTTGTTTCAGAGAAACGACGTAGACCTTATTAGTGCGTCAATGGAAAGTTCTCTTGCAACTATTGGAGGTTTTTGTTGTGGCTCATCCTTCGTTGTTGATCATCAGGTACATCGCTTGTAGTTCCATTAAAATAGTGTATGTCGTACATTAACTATGTTTAAGTTATGCAATTATTGTACAAATACTATCGGATTATAAAATACTCATTATAGTAACTCATATATAAGCGTTTTGGCAAATCATGCCAGCCGTGAGCAGGACCATTGTCAGCCATAATATGTCACGTGCGTGAAGACGCGAAGTGCTTTATACCTGATAAAACTCGACACCTTGATTACAAAATGATTAGTATTTTTTATATAAAGCTCATCCTAATTAGTATTCTTTATATAATTAGACTAGCATTCTTTCTATGAAGAATAATCATATTTAAAATGCTGCGCTCTCGTATTTTAAATACGATAAAACTCTTATGTGCATGCAATTAGGCCGTTTGCTGTTTCCCGATATCGTTCACTTTCATTTCACCTGTCTTGTAACTGAGATATTTTTACCGGAACTAACACTTTCGAACACGCTGAGTTCAAATCTGAAAAGTTCCCGCTCTATAGACCTGCAGTTTTCTCACAAACTGCAATTTTATCTTCACTAATTTCACGACAACTTTTTTCATTGTTCAACGACACGATGACGACAAACGATCATGTCACTCAAAAAGACCCATTTCTATTAACCAGTCTAACTTTTAACAAAAGATCGGTTTTGCTCGAATCATTTTGAGTTACTGTATGTTATATTATGCGTGTTGGACGTAAATAACATCTTGTCTACCGGGTGTCCCAAAAAAAAGTACTCCGGTTTGATTTATAATAACTTCTAAACAAGTATAGCTATGAAACAGAAATAACTTGCATTAAATAGAGGAAGGACTAACTTAGATTTTGATATATTACAGTTGTATTTTACTTAAAAATTCACGGAGATATTAATGTTCAAAATCGGGAGCATATTTTGGGATGTGTCTAAAATTAGCGAAAATCAGCATATCAAATATTAACTCCAGCGTTTGTTTGCTTCTTGACATATCTGGCTAACTGGTATTTCAGCGAATTGTCGTTAGGGTTTGTAAGGGATATATGGCGTAGATTTAGACATCTTACATGTAAGTCTTAGCTCATTGTTTCCTGAAACATGGACGTTCAAAATTATGAAAGTATTTAATAGGTCTTTGGCTTTGCAAACTTAAAGTTACATGAAAGACCTTGAAGGCAGGCGCTTAAATTTTTAAATAGCCTAATTTTTTTATGTTTTACATGGATTCAAAACAAAGTTGATTATTTCTCGGTTAGAGCAGGATGAATATTATTATTTAATGAAGGAAATGATATTGCTTTTTGCAAATACACATCACAGTGTCAACGCTACTATTTTGTTACGTTTTGTTCCAAAAATGTTGGATGTCTCTGGGGAATTGCTTGTTATGCCTTTAATTATGGAGTTGTATGGTTTGATCGTGTTTCATTCTCAGTTTATTCTGAACTTGCCAAGATTAAAAAAGGCAAAAGAGTTTGGGTGTTCTTAACAAGATTTCAGAACGTTGAAGAAGTTAGAAAATTCATTCAATGTGAAGTTAGAAAATCCACAATTCCA